ACTCATTAAATATCTTACTTTCAAATAATAAAAACTATTAAATTAAGAAAAAAAGGAAAAATCAAAATACCGAATTGCAAATTGCTTTTTTTTTTCTTCCTTTATATTAACATTTTTTATTTTTTAATATTGTACGGCTAGAAATGGTAATTTCCACAAGGATAATTATACATACACCTAAACAATCAACACCCATCTCAACACTCAAGGCTAAAATGAGGAGGGGTAAATTTGTAATTTTACTGTTCATAAACTTTGGGTGTTGAGATGAGTGTTGATTGTTTGGGTGTATATATAATTGTCCTTTCCACAAATAACGGGCCACAAACCCCAATAGAATTTCATTGTCATTTTTAAACATATAAACTAGGGTATAGGTACACTTGTTACTTGTAAGTGCCTTAATTGTTCAAGTAAATTTTATATTTGAATTGTAAAGAAATTAGGTAGGTAATAGGTAGGAAAACAACATCTATACTCATAAGTATCAAGTTAAATAACAAATATAGGGGTTCAAAACTGTTTACCTAACATGTTTAATTGACTTATTTAACTAATTTGTTACATGTACTTGTATAATTGAAATTTTACCTACACTTATTATACTTTATATCTATATAATAACAATAATTTTTAAAAATAAAAATAACGAAATACAAAAATAAACCCTAAGCCAAAGAAATCACATAAGTAGCAATAACAACTTAGATAAATAATAAATCCTAAACCAAACACATGACACATGTAGCAATAGCAACTAGCGAAAGGCCTCCTTTTTTCCCTAAGCCAAGTACACAAATATATACTCACAAGTTATTTAATACTTGTTGGGTTAGGTACTATTTATAGGTTTTCGAGTATTTGGCTAAGTCTAAAAAGTTATTTAATACTTGTTTTTATTTTAAATTGGGGAAGAAAACATTCTTAGAGGCCCATCTAGGAATTTAATCTTAACTTTTCAAAAAGTTTCTCAATCTTATAATTTGACAAGGATATTAAAAGACATTCCTTTGAGTCAAAATCACCGAAAGAAATTATTTAAGGCTATCTTGTAGTGCAATTTTCCAAGCATGGGAAAACATTTTTCATTAGTAAGAGGAGAAACCAAATAGACAATAAGCAACCTCTTTATTACGTTGGCAGGTATATTACATGGAACCAGTGATCAAATAGAGGTATAACACTAACACAATCCAAACAGGCAACTATTAAAACATAACTAGTTCAGGTCTTTTCCGCATTGTTTCCTTTAGAAATAAGACTCGAGGTACTTGATGACATTCTTGTCCAGCATGAAAGCCTTAGCAAGAACATCAGGATTAATACGGGGATTGGATCCAAAAACAGCATTTGCAATTACGATTGTGCCTGGATTCTGGCTACTAAAACCAGCAATAGCAACAGCAGGAGTTTCCCCTATATTGAGCTGGAAGTGAATCATACCAATAGGGAAAACGAAAATATCTCCCTTGTTCAGCACTTTTGCGAAGAAACGGTTACCATCATCATTGGATGAGACAAAGCCGACATATAGTGTGCCTTCCTGGACTACTAGAATCTCGGTTCCGCGAGGATGGGTGTGGGGTGGATTAAGACCACCATTAGGAGCATAGTCAATACGAACAAGGGATACACCTAGAGTGTTAAGTCCTAGAAGTTGTTCAACGAATGCTGGAGTGACAGCTGACCCAACTGCATTGGATGTATTTCCTGGCTTGTCAAATCCTGAAAAGAAGAAGTCCTCTGCGATGACAAGTTTTGGGTCCTTACAGAACTTCCCATTCACAAACACTGCACCAAAGATGTGTTATTCAAAAGAATGTCAAGCAAAATATACAGTACATTTTCAAATGAAGTTGCTACAAAATGCAGTATGAAGGAAGACATACCACCATTCTTGGTGTCATTGATGCCTACACAAAAGTCCTGGAGAGGGCTGGGGTCATATGCAAAGACAAAGGAGGAAGCAAAAGCCAATAGAGCAAAAGCTACAAGGAAATAAGCACTTTTCATTGTTATAAGGCTGCTGCTGCCTTGAATTCTTCTAAGTTTGTTTGTGAGGAATGAGAAACCCTTCAAAGAGACATGCCTATTTATGGACATAGGAGTTGAAGTAGTCGGTGGTCTTTTTATCTCTATTTTAAAGAGGCAGGTGTGAGGCTTACCTACTCTTTAATGTTTATCCAAGTTTTCTTCATATACTTTTTTTTTTAACAGCAAAAAATAATATTTATTAATAAACGGAGTATAAGGGGTACCTCAAACCCATAAACATTATAACTTGAAAGACATCAAATTACAAAGGGTTTGGCAAGTTTTCTTCATATACTTGCCAAACCTTTAATGGCTATATCGAAGTTTTCCTACACTTACCTCGGTTCATTATTACTTTAAATTAAAATTGAAGCAAAATTTTGCCATGCGTTAATGTCTTTGACACCATCTCCTCAGAGTTTAGAAAGAAAAAATCAATAGACAAATAAAGGACCATTCCTGTAGACGTAACTAGCTTCGTGAATGATGCAATTTCATCGGTGCATGAGCTTTAATATGATTACTTAGAGATGCTGAAAAAATTTAAGTAAATTAGAGGGTCTATAAGGTCAACAGGAGAGATTTAGGAGAGATTTGGGAGTTACTCCTTTTAAGTGAATTAGAGGGTTTTCTATAAGAGTTGGTGTTGAAAACTTTCAGAATATACATTCCAACTTCCAATCCATTTTTTGTGCAACCACTTCGTTTAGATGGAAAAAAAAAAATCCTCGTATGCGGTCACTTCTAAAGACCTGAAGCTCATATATTGGTAAGCTTGTTAAGGTATAAACCATAAATAAAAATTCCCAATAAATATCTCAACCAAAAGATTGACACATTTCTTCACACTCCGGTTAAAAATGTAAAACCAAAGGGGAAAAAAAAAAATACAAAAATCCCTCAAAAGGTTTAATACAATTGGGTGCAGTCCTGTGGTCTGTCAAAATTCTATTTATCTATGGTTTTTTACAAGCTTTCACACTTGTTGCAAAGCGTTCAGGGTGATAAGTTACTTGAATCTCTTTTTCAATCACTAATCCCTCCAGCAAAAAGTGAAGTGAAGAAGAATAACAAACTTGGTGTATGTTGTAGCCATGCGGGTAACCTTTCAATCTGTCAAAACAACCGCATAAGCTTTCAAGGGCAAGGAAATAAGATTCAGTTATTACAAATAATATCCAAATAATAAAGATTTCAATTCTAATCAAGAAATCTGCATAAAATTGAATCAAATATCGCAAATATTCCTGGAAACGTATGCCAATCTAAGTTTGCAATTTGCTTTATCCCTAAAATTTAGAAGGAAACAATAACAATTAATGTATGTCTGCATGTATATTGGAGGAGGAGTGGAGATAGTATAATGAGGACAAGATATCATATATAACTAAAAATGAAAAAAAAAAGCTTGATGTTAAACAACACAACTGATATGTCAATCCAGTAGTCAAAATATAACCAATTGCACTCCCACCTCACACACACAGACACATATAACAATATTAAAAATTAAACATGATCAATAATGACAAATGACACCTCCCTTAATTTACTCCCAATTAATTTTTCACCATTTTTAGATTTCTCTTCAATAAAATGAAATTACACATAAAAATAACAAGTCATAATGGAAATTAGAAACAAATATCACATGGGCAACAGTGGTATGAAACTGACAGCCCCAATTGAAGCTTCAAGATTTTGCAAATTGCAACCATAAGGAGATGATCAAATGATATGGTTCACAACAAAAAGATAATGAAAGATGTCAATGCTGGCACTACAATAAAACTTAAGTTCAAAAGAGAAAGAAAGACAACTTGAGGATCAAAATCAAAGTTCCAAGGAGCAAGGACTAAGAAATCAAATTATGAAATAGTATAATATTGAAGGATACAAAGGAGGATACAGATTGGGTCAGTTCCGAAGCCCGATAACTTCTTACTGCAAAGATATTAGAATAAAAAACGTCAAATAAATAATACCACACTTAAACATCAGCATATATGAACTTACCAAAATCTAAAACTACCCAAAGCTTTTTCAGATTAATAAGGAGAGCTGATAGCACGTTGATGAAATTATTCTTGCAAAAAAAAAAAAAAAAAATGGCTTCCAATAAAAATGCCATGTTCATGCATAATGGCTGTCCTGAGATTCTGAAGGATCATATCTATCTCCAAATCCCTTCGGTTCCTTCAAGTCAGAACTA